CCCCCCCCCCCCAGGTGAACGAGCTGAGCAACGTGCCTGTCCCGGTCATGCTGATGCCCGATGACTTCAAAGCCTACAGCAAGATCAAAGTGGACAACCACCTGTTTAACAAGTGAGTCCAGCATCGGTCGGGGGGGGGCACTCCATCTCTGACCACTAATCTGAACCACTAATCTCCAAAAGTATCAAGGGATTATTTTATTTGAGCTCTTTTTTTATTTTGAATTCAATTTTCAGCTCAAGGGCTGAAACATGGAATTTCACCTGTGTGTCAAAAGTAAATATAACATAAATAAAATAAATATTGAATAAATAAAGTTTTATGAATTGATTAAATTAAATTAATTTTATTTTAAAATTGAATTAATTAATTACATTTTATTAAATAAAGTGCTATAAAATGAGAATGTCTTCTATTTGACACAAATGATATAAAGTAAATATGAAATAAACTAAATATTAGATAAAGTTTTATACATTTTATAGAAATTGATTACATTAAATTAATTCACTTCAAAATAAATTGATTTATTAAAAAATAATAAATTAAATTGTATAAAATAAAGTGCAATAAAATGTGAGAATGTCTTCTATTTGACAAAAATAACAAAAGCATTCAAGTAAAGGTTCTATAAAACTACTATATTCTCGTATAATCCTATTAATATAAAATAAAACATATAAATATCATCGGCCCTTACTGAACTTCCAGTTTCCACCTTCTTAGTCCCACAGAAACCTCTAAAACAGCAGAGACCGAGACGCTTTTTATCCAGTTAAACTCATGAGGGGGTGGATGTGGACCCCCAGGGCCTAGAGGGGGTCCAGAAGGGGCCCCTGGGGGTCCAGAGGGGCCCCTGGTGGTCCACATCTCAGACCCAGCTGGTCCTGACTCTGAGCCTCGGTCTGTTCCAGAGAAAACCTGCCCAGCCGCTTCAAGTTCAAAGAGTACTGTCCCATGGTGTTCAGGAACCTGAGGGAGAGGTTCTGCATCGACGACCAGGACTACCAGGTCAGTGGGTCCCCAAGCCGGACCAAAGGGGCCCAAAGGGGTCCAGAGAGGTCCAGAGAGGCCTAAAGGGGTCCAGAGAGGTCCAGAGAGGTCTAAAGAGGCCTAAAGGGGTCCAGAAAGAACCAGAGAGGCCTAAAGAGGTCCGGAGAGGCCCTACAAGGCCCAGAGAGGCTTAAAGGGGTCCAGAGAGAACCAGAGAGGCCTAAAGAGGTCCAGAGAGGTCCTAAGGGGTCCAGAGAGGCCTAAAGAGTCCCAAAGAGCTCAAAAGAGGACCAGAGAGGTTTAGAGAGACCTGAAGAGGTCCAGAGAGGCCCAGAGAGACTTAAAAGAGTCCCAGAGAGACCTAGGTCTCCAGAGAGGTCCACAGAGACCTAAAGAGGTTCAGAGAGACCTAAAGAGGTCCATAGAGACCTAATGAGTCCCAGAGAGACCTAAAGAGGCCCAGAGAGACCTAAAAATGTCAAGAGAGACCTAAAGAGGTCCGGAGAGACCAGAAAGTTCCAGAGAGTCCCAGAGAGACCTAAAGGGGTCCATAGAGACCTAAAGAGGTCCACAGAGACCTAAAGAGGTCCAGAGACCCAGAGAGTCCCATAGAGAACTAAAGGGGTCCAGATAGACCTAAAGAGGTCCAAAGGGCCCAGCCGGGCCCAGCTTTGCCTCACAGCTGTCTGTCCCCGCAGAACTCGCTGACCAGGAGCGCCCCGCTGAACAGCGACTCCCAGGGGCGCTTCGGGAACCGGTTCCTGTGCAGCTACGACCACCGGTTCGTCATCAAGACCGTCTCCAGCGAGGACATCGCAGAGATGCACAACATCCTGAAGAAGTACCACCAGGTGGGCCCCCAGGACCAGAACCAGAACTAGGGCCAAGACCAGAGGGTTTACCAGAACCAGGACCAGAACTAGAACCAGAACCAGAGTCAGAGGCTTAACCAGAACCATAACCAGAGCCAGAACTAAAGCTAGAACCATGACAAGAACTAGAACTTGAACCAGAGCCAGGACCAGAACTAGAACTAGAGCCAAAACTAGAACCAGGACCAGAAACAGAACTAGAACCAGAACTAGAAATAGAACCATACCCAGGACCAGAACAAGGGCCAGACCAGAAACAGGACCAGAACCAGGACCAGAACTAGAGCAGGAACTAGAACTAGAGCCAGAACTTAAACTAGAACCAGAGCCAGAACTAGAACTAGAGCCAGAGTCAGAACCGGGACCAGATTCCAGACCCCAGGCAGAGCCGTGGGGGGGGCTCTGCCT